GAAGGGAAGGGAAGGGAAGGGAAGGGAAGGGAAGGGAAGGGAAGGGAAGGGAAGGGAAACGAAAACACGAAGATGCATTCATACACACAGACATATTTAGATATATGTATGTTTTACATATATGTATGTGTATACACACACACACACACATACACACACAAAACCACACCCCTCTGCTCTGGCTTTTTGACAATCGGAGACTTGGGAGCGACATAGATTTGCAGCAGTTCATTAGGCGAAACGAACGGATTCAGAACCATACTGGCCTCCGTTTGTAGGCCCGCGCTCTCCAGCGGCTGCCTCCTTCGCCTTCCCCGCCTCCCCTCCGCTGATATCAACCTTTGGCCTTGGGAGGGAGCAGGAGCAGGAGCAGGAGGACCCCAGCACTGGACTGAGATGAGCGGAATGTTTTAGTTGATTAAGGTTATCCCTCGTTAGATAAAAATGTGTTAAGAAACTGGACGGAGCGGGATACAGGCGGGAGCGGGAAATCCTGGCCTCAGTTCGGAGCGTTCTTTGGCCATTGAATTGCACTTCCGCGCCAGGCAGTTTCTGAGAAGGCGACGACAATAACCAAACAATTGTGCTCCCCCCAACCCAAACCAGTCCTTGGGCGCCCTGCAGAATTACTTCCCAAGTCCGGGATGCTTAAGTTCCCGAAGAGGCGGCTGCGCAATTCTTTGAGTTGCCCTCTCTCCAACTCGACACGCTTACATACCCAGCTCACACCCGAAGCACTTCGTTTATTTATTGAACCATCTTGTCATGTCGCATCGGTTTTCCTGGTTATTCTATTCGGTTTGCAGCCACAGTAAGGATTAGGATCGTGGACATGCACGTGCGGGACGGGAAAAAAATGGTCTGTGAACGCGTGTAACAGTATCTCTGGTGCACTCCTTCAGTCTGAACCAGGGGCTTCCAGAATAGACAATCTGGAGCGCCTCCAATCCGTTTCTGCTCGCCGTAAGAGCTGAGGTACAAATGCCACTTTCTGCATCCCGAAGAAGTTTCCCGGTTAAGGTCGCTCTAAGCCGGGCAACTGGAGCCCAGGCGCATTCTCTCTGGCGCACAAACTCCGGGCGTTCAAGAAGACAGCACAAACCCGTGAGTCGCCGCTCACTTCGGCCGTTTACGTGAAACCAAATTTAAAATGGAAGATTTCCCCTGGACCCAAACTACAAGAGAACTCGAATTGCCGTTGCATGCAATTTTTCATGGAAGTGGCTTCCCAACTGACTCTCATATTCTGGGTTTTTCTGGCCACATGAATGACTTCAAACAGCCAGGGGTTGATCTGCCTGCTTAACTCCCAAGATCCCACAAGTCTTTTTGGCTTGGCCAACAGTGGAAAGGTAGAGTTTCATAGGAATTGCCCCAACAAGGTTCTAGCACAGATCTCACAGCAGCTTTTGACCAGCTGGTCTCCCCAGTTACGATCAATTAAAATATCATCAAAATTGGGGTTGATGGGAATTGTAGTCTACTGAATTCAGGAAGACCCTTAGCTCACAGCAGAACGCACTACCTGGGGTGGACTTTGGGCCTGAAGAATATTGTATAGATGGTGGGGGAGGATTTTGTCTTGTACAGCAGTGTCCCTTATATATTCATTGTTAATACATAATGGTTGAGTATAGAAGGGAAGGAGGAAGAGATAATGTGTGTGAAACCAGTTTCTTAACATATTATCTGACTAATGTGCCTAAAAGCATCTCTGTGATGGAATAGACCCCTTTTCTCACCTTGAGGGGAAGAACTATTCTAATAAAGCAGGCAAACTAAATCTGTGATAAAGTGGGAAAAGCCATTTTGATCCTAGCCGAGAAATGAATCTTTGGTTTGCTTCAGACCCCAACAGCATGGGTGCTGCTGAGCAAAGCAATTCACTCTGCGACCGAATAGTCAGGAAAGCAGTAGACACCTTTCTGCTGGAGAAAACTCATCTTTGGGCCCTTGTTTGTAAGCAAAACTGACCAAGGCTGTACTTATTTGTGTTTTATGTTATTTTCTTCTATTATTATTGTACTTTTATCCCTTACTTTTATCTTCTAAATATCATGTATATGTGTATGTGCATGTATATGTATATTCACTGACTTTTAAGGTTTTATATCACTGTTTTCTGGCTCTTTGGCTGTAATAAAGTTATTTGATTTGACCAAGGCCATAGCCTTCCCTCCTGCCTAAATCTAGCTCAGATTTGTTTGTGGACCTGTAAGGCAGACAGTAATTAGGAGGTGTGTGCTTGTGTGTGTGTGTACTTCAACTCACCTGGATTCCATCTTTTCCATTGCCCTTAATTATACAGCCTTCAGCTATATTCCACATTTGGAAATAGTCCTGACGTAAAGTAGATCTCAAAATGGAAGGTAATTCCTGGCTTCTGACATTCAGACAGGAGCACTCCTGTGTTCCTGGTGGCAAAGGTCAGTGGGGATGTGGGCTGCCATCCTCTGCATTTCCTAATCAGGGGATAAGCCCCTCTGAAACCAAGCAACCTTCCTCCCAAATTCACGTGTAAAAGATTTAACTGTCAAAGGAGGGCATCCATTTCCATGAGAAAAGGCTCCATCTGATGTGCTCAGAAATAATCCATTATGGTTGGAGCGTCTCTTCTATATTGAGTTATACCCTTCAAAGGTTTTGGGGGGGACGGGGAGGGGGGGCTGAGAGGTATAGGAAAAGAAAACAAAAATAACAGAAAATTGCTGCAGCATCTCAGCATTGGAGAATCCAAATAACGTGCTAGCCAGGTCAGCTGTCCTGTCTAAGCCACTTTTCCCTTTTGTGCCAAGCCTGTTGCTCTGATTTTGAGGGAGCTGTTCCAGATGAGTCCTGTTTTCACCCTACCCTGTGAATTTCAACAAACAAGGGCAGGAGGAAGGGACATAAAACAAGGATCTGCCAAATGCAACCTGCCCAACCAGACTGCCCACTTTGAAAATGCACCAGGCCATTTTTGTTTCTAACGCCGCCCTTCTCCCTTCTCCTTGGCATTTACACAAATACACTAGATTTGGAAAGCCATTTCCAAATCAAAAGCTACTTTAATCTTTTAAACCTTCCAAAAGCCCCTAAATTTGCCTGTATTTCTTTTAACCACCTCTTAAGACGCAAAGACTAGAAATGAAATGAGTTTCAAATTATTGCATTTAAGCCGAGGTGTTTCCAAACAGTTGGAGGTGGTATCATTGACAGATACAAGGAAACTCTGGCCAGATTATCACTTCAACTGCCTAACTTGCATCACTGACTTTTCTTTAGGAGAAACCTCTTCGTTTACTGCTTGGTCTTCAGTGCCATATTGAATGGGATTGCTTGAATGTATTGAGGGTACATAAAATATTAGCAATAGCTGCACAAGAAAGTAATTCTGCTTATTCTGCAGATTCAAAGATTCTTTGACCAGACCATCCTTCTCCTCCTTCTCCTTCTCCTTCTCCTTCTCCTTCTCCTTCTCCTTCTCCTTCTCCTTCTCCGGCTCCGGCTCCGGCTCCGGCTCCGGCTCCAGCTCCTGCTCCTGCTCCTGCTCCTGCACCAACAAGACAAAACAACTCACCCTAAATAGTGTAATGGAGCTTTGGACTAGTGTTGATGCGTTAATGCCCAGTCTCAGTTTAAGAGGTTTTAAGAGAAAGAGAAAGCACACAAGTGAAAGCACATTTGATTGCATCTCTGGTTCATTTTCTTCTTCATCTTGTTTTCCATTCATAGAGTCCAGCGTTTATGCTTCCGCAGACGGAAGTCTCCAGGTCTCCACTGCAATTTAGCTGTAGATCTAACAGTCAGATGGAGTGAAAAGCAGGATACTGCTCCGCTCCTGGCCTCTTGCGCCATTAATGGGCTGCTGCGTCTGTTAACTCTGTGCCAAAATAGCAATGCTTGCAAAACGAGATTCAGTGTAATCCTGTGCCTGTCCACTCAGAAGTCATTCCGCTGAGTTGAACGGGGTTGCCGAGCGAACTCCGAACTCCATGAGCCTTAATGCCAATAGACTGAGCTCAGGAGGAACAAGACATCAGAACCAGAATGAAACCCGCCCAGGCAGAGCACTTCAAGGTCCTTCCCAAAAGATTCTACTCTGTTTCAAGATTTCTTTCAAGATTCCTTCACTTAAATATGAGAATTAATTGGCTTAGTGACTTCTGAAGTCAACGGCAACCTAAAAATGCTTAACTTAAAAATTGTTTTAAAAGCAAAGTCTTCAGAATCTATCCGGAAAAGGCAGTTTTAACAATGCAGTATTTAGCTTATTTTATTATTTTACTTTATTTGAGAATTGTGCTTGTGCTTATCTACCCAGATGAAGTATCCTAACGTTACTTGTTCCAGCCTCTTTTGCTGTGCTGGGTTTTGACTCAGGTGGATCCTGGGAAATCGATCCCCGAAATGGAAGAAGTCTCAGTAAACAGCAGAGATAGCCTATTTCGGTGCAGGTTACTTCCGAGTTTTTATTTTTGTTTTATATTATGTATTTTGTGTTGTTATTTGTTTTATTGTAAGCCACCTAGAGTCACATAAAAGTGAGACGAGCAGCTATATAAATCAAGTAAATAAATAAAAAATAAGTTAGGTTGGTTGCACAGATGCAGGTTACACGCGAGCCAGGTTACAAGCACCTTACCAGTTAAGAATTGCAATGTGTTAAAAACCCATTATATGTGTTGACAAAACTACAGCCTTACCAGGACGCTGATGACCCCTCCCTCTCAAATACCACAATGCTAAAAATGATTGCTGATGTAAGTCGTGTAGCACACCTTGCCTAGCGAACTAGCATATTAGATTTCATGTCAGATGACTCTGAAGTGCTTCTGCCTCTGAGTTTCCTATTGAGACAGCCTGAAACTATGTATATGTTGCATGTGAGTTCAACGATTTCTCCCTCGCTGGTGGGAGAGCCATCCACGCCCGCTCTATGACCAGGGAATGCTCCCTCTGAAGGCGGATCCCTCCCACGGCCTCCAGTCGATGCTCAGTGTCCAGGCTTCAACACTAGGTGGCCCTGCAGGTTTTCCTGGGGAGGTCCAAGAGGCTGATAAATGCTAGATTGTGCCAGACTCCAGCCCAGGATGCGAGCTGGAAATCTGAAGCCTTCCAATATCCAAGTTAAAATCATTTTAATTGCCAAAAAAAGAGAGAAAGAAAGCCCTCAGAAAAAATAAACCGATCTTCCAGTGGGTCAGTACCAAATCACGTGGCCTGGAATGGCAGGAATGGCATGAAAGAAAAGGTAACCACCCAGGAATCTTGAAATGATGTACATCTCAAAACAAAGAAGCCAAGCATCAGAGGAAACAAGATGCCATTGAACTTCCTCTCAAATCTGTGCAACTGTCTCGGGCATTTATTTACAAGTGACCTATTGGAAAAAGAAGGTGTCATGTGACCCTTCCTATCTTTCACTGGATCTGCTTTATGTTGGGTTGTTTGGATTTAGAAAGCACAGCTTCTCCATCAAATACACGAAGTGGATGGGGAGGCAAGGCGAAGAAAACTATTTCAAGAGGGAGAGAGAGAGAGATTGAGGAGGAGAGCTGGGTAAAGTCTTCACCCGCCACGCTTAAAATGTGCTTATTGGGAGGGCTCTTGATGATGATGTGAATGATGACAATGATGTGATCAATTGATTAAAATAAAACTCTCTCTCTCTCTCTCTCTGAATGAATATTTTGTTTTCTATAAGCAGCTATAAAGTTAGATGGCCTTATTTGTTTCTGGTTATTGAATGTTCAATGATTTAACTAATCTTTGCTAGGAATCCAAATAACTCTGCACCCGCTTTACTGCATTTATTGCTTGCTTGCTTGCTTGGTTCTCTGTTTGAACACACTCACTCATCAAGAAATAAGAGTAAACCTAATGTATGCTGTTATGGAACAGGAATGAAAAAGTTTCCGGAGAGATGGAATGAATGAGCTCTGGATATTGCTCACCATCCAGAAAGAGAGTGGGTTGTTTTTCCTCCTGCAAGCGGCTGTGTGTGTGTGTGAGAGAGAGAGAGCGGGAGAGAGAGAGAGGAAGAGAGTGGCCCTCCTTGCAACCCAGAGAGCAACACGAGTGAGCTGACCCTCCCTTTGACCCTTCTTGTTCTCGCTGACACCCGCGGTGAAACCAAGTTCATCCCAATGTAACGTCTGGCACTCGAGGGTCTAGACAGATGTAAACATCGCCAAGACTTTAGGACGAGCTTCTTCATGGAGCTTGGAAGAGGACGCCATTGTTTATTACCTGTCTTAGCAGAAACGCTCCGCAGTTCACCTCAAAGAACCGGCCGTAAAGCTGGGAAACAAATATTTACTCAACCTTCTGCCTAGAAGCACTTTGAGTCTCTAAAAGCTGGTGGAGATTTAGGTCCACTTGAAACATGTGTTCCATTTCAGTGTCGCCAAGAAAACTCCAAACAGGACAGTCTCTTCGTTGGTGTCAGAGGGAAGGCTCCCGTGGGAAAATGCAGGGCGGGGGGCGGTACGTATACCTGAAGGGGTGGGAGATTAAAAATTCAGTGGCAGCTACATACACTTCCTTTCAACAACAGCGCCGGAGCAAAAGTACGATTTCTATATTTTGTCCCCTAAGATTCCCTCTTGCGAGTCAGCTTTCAAATAGCAAGAATGCACCTTTTACACCCCCCCATAGGAACTGTTTCCTAAACGAAGAATAGTTCTGAAAAGTCTTCAAACGAAATTGACTAGACTAGAAATATATGATTTCAAAGAAGCAGTTTCTGAGAATGTTTTTTTTTAATGTATAAATCTATTTGGGGAAGTGCGGGGGGGGGAGATAATTAACTAAAGGGCATTGAGATACTTCCCAGCACCCATTTCTAGTGCACTCCTGTGCGTGTTTGCTGGGAAGTAACCCCCGCTAAGTCCTGCATCCCGCGAATGAAGGAGAAGGGGGGCTGGCACACGCGAGTAACATCTGCCACTCCCATTCTTCTGTTGCGAAGTATCGCTAAAAGAAGGCCGGCGGCAACACGGTCTTCTGAATTCTGATCTGGGATGAGATGATGCTCATAAACGAGCGTCTGTATCTGCGGATGTTCCGAAGATTTGGCGAGGGCAGTAGACTGGGATTAGCAAAGAAAAATAAAAAGACTCCTGGCCGGTTCAAGCTTCCAGAAAACAGAGGGGGGCGCCAAAGGCCAGCAAGAAAGGCGCCCGCAGACACTCGCGTCCTCTTTTTATGAGAGGTTCCCCACGCTGCAGTCTGGGCTGAAACTCGCCCAGGTGCTCTGAGGCCAAGGGACCGCACAGACTCTCCCATGATCCCGTTCCATCGTATTTAGTTCGGTGTTTGGGTCGGGATGGGATGGGGTGGGATGGGATGGGGCGGAGGTTAGTAGTTGCGCCTTGCAGCAATCTCCCCCAGCCTGCGTGGGTGTTGCGGGTCAGCCTGTCACGAGGCCTCGTGGCGACTCGGAAGGAGTTTAACAAACGCTCCGTTTCGCGGAATTGCCACGGATCCTAACAAACAGAACCGACTTCGAAAGAGAGAATGAGACAACAAGGGGGTGCGCAGTTCAAATTTGAGAACTGCCCTGTCAAGAAATGGAAAAGCAACTTGGATTGCTTTTCTCCCTTTCTTAATCAAGGCTCGGAAGAGGACTTTGTCCCCTAGCTGGTCAATTCTCCGTATCTGTGTACTGTATGTACAGTATTTTCCTGTGCACCCTGTGTTTCTGTGCTGGTGTGTATCAATCGTTTCCTATAGGAAGGTGAGGGACGCAGAAGAATAGGAACGCGAATTTTAATACAATGAATGATTCACAATATTAGGGAAACCCGCTTATGAAATGGCATTTCAGACAACCGGAGGAGCTTCTGTTTCCAGCTTGTTGCCCTTCCCAGTCCTTCCGCTTGCAAGAAGACCCCAGCCTTCGGCCGCTGTTGCAACGAAGTTCACATTGGGAAGAACTCGGGACGCCCCTAATTAAAGGCGGAAGTGGATTTTAGGCTCAGCCGCCTCTTAGGGACTTTCAAGGTGAAGCCGGAGCCCTTCCCATGAGGAGAAATCCTCAGGCTAGCTTGGTCCCTTTCGAGCTGTGGATGTAGCAATGCGTCTGCTCTTATTAGTCCGCGGAAGTGTGAAGAGCCCAAGGATTTGTGAGGAATTATACAATCTTTTTGGTTTCGAGAGGAACGATTTATTCAAAACAATTTCAGGGGAGTTTTAGGGTTCCTTTACAGTTAAACGAAGTTCGGCTCAGAACTCAGCGGCCACCTTGCTCCCAAAACCAGGTGGTCTGTGCCCAAATTTGCCAGCTAGCGTCCCACCCAAGTCACGCACCCCGATTTTTTACCCCCCCAAAGGAAAGGAAAGAGGGAGCCGAAGGGAGCGTTGGCGTCTGAAGGAACGGCATTCGCGCCCTACCAGTTTTAAGCCATACGCTGCTTAACTCTCTCCAGTCGAAAGTCTTCTAATGGGTGGACAAACGCTCCGTTTAAGCCTGAAGCCTGCCAAATCTGCCCGTTTTGAAATCAGCAGCGGGGCTTTCCCTCTTGGAAAGGGAAACCCAGGGGCGAGGGGGTAGAAGTGGCGCGCGGGCAGTCCCGGCCCGGGGCGGCTCAGCACCTTAAAGTCTATCCCGAGAGGAGGTCGCGTGTTAGAAAGCAGGCCTCCCTGGGCTGGCAAGTCTGGGCCGTCCGCGTGGCCCCTGAGAGGCGCTCCCGGGACGCTAATGACAGGAGCGTTAGCAGCTCTTAAGCGCTCGCCCTGGGCGTCATGATTGCAATCAAAGTTCTCGCCGAAGGGAGCGTTTCCGATAGGAAGGCCGGCGGAGATCTCTCTCTCTCTCTCTCTCTCTCTCTCTCTCTCTCTCTCTCTCTCTCCCTCTCTCTCTCTCTGTTTCACCCCCGCCCCCCGCCCCCATTCCCGGTCCCCTTACGGCTCTGGGAGGGCTTAGTTCTTCGACGGAATCTAAGATTAGAGAGAGCGCGCGCGCGCGAACCGGGAAAGAGAAACAGATGAGGAAATTCAGGCTCAGGTAACTGCGCAGTTGGGGGGGGAGGGGGCGGCCCGGAAAGAGAGAAGGAGATCTCTAGGTGAGTCACATTCTTTGCCTGTACTGGGAACCTTTTGAGACTTGGGAGTCGAGGCCTTTACCAAAGAAAAGAAATTGATATTTTAAGCAAGTAATCCTGTTTCGATTGAAAGGGGAGGAGAGACTGAAGAGAGATCTAGGCAAGGGATAAAGGAGTGAATGAATGAAAGCCTCCCTCCCTGCCACAGCTACATCCAAACAAACCCACATAGTTCTCTAGTGATTTAAATCGTGTTTTGAAGACTCTTTGGAACTCCCCCCCCCCCTTCAGTGAACTGATGTTGTGCCCAAGGCGAAGGAAACACTTTAAGCAGACTTCCGTCATTAAACGATGATAGGCACGTCCTCTGTCAGAAAAACTTTGAAAGAAAAAAAAAAGGTTTGTGGGTGCCCTAAGAAAATGTAGGGAACCCTCTGAGATGGCGCTTAATGGAGCCGTGCCGGGCTCCGGGATTGCGCCTGATGTGGCCGGTCTGATAGGTAAGTATCTGCCGAGAAAGTATGGAAGTCTGAAGAAGAGGCGGTTTCGTGGCCGGCGGCCAGGGCGAGTCCGTTTCTTCAAGGAAAGCCCGCGTTTGCTTTCTGAAGGAAACCGTGGAAGAGGGTCAAAAGGCAGCCGGGAGATGGGTGGGGGAGGGACAATCTTCGCCTCCCCCTCCCTTGGGCAGCCTTTCTTCTCCCAGGTTGTCTCCAAAACCTTCGCAGGAATCACAACCTGCCCCGCCGTTTAGCCGGTGTTGCTGTTGGAGGAAAAAAACGAAAAAGAAACTGCGCCCTTAGGAGCTGAAAAGCCGGACACACACTCACGCGGGCGCGTTCACACACGCACGCACACACACACACGCTCACGCTCTCTCTCACACACACAAAAGCAAAAGGGGTGGGGGTGAAAGGGGGGGAGCTGGAATCAGAACATAATGATTCACCTAAATGAAGGGGGAAATGTTGCTCAGTTCGTTTTATTAATCAGGCTGCCAATTTCACCCCAGAGGCCAAATCTCAGCAACCCGTGCAGGATCTGATCGAGCGCAGGACGAGGATTCCTCTCTGCCTCCTCCTCCTCCTCCTCGTCCTCGTCGTCCTCCTCCTCCTCCTTCTTCTTCTCTCCAGTCCTGGTCTTTCCGCCTCCCCTGTTGGATCTATTTGTCTGCTCTGAAGCTGCCTTCATTATCCGCTGACAGGATCTTGTATTTATTTGCTTATAAACCTGTTACAATAAATGATTATTCGACCAGCGTCATTCGTACCTTAATGACGAGCGCTCCTTTTCTGTGATGAATGACATTTCGGGGCTAGAAAGGATGTATAGGTCATTTTGACCAGTCATTCCCTTCGCCTTTACATCTCGCTCCCCCTTCTTCTCCTCTTCTTCTTTTTATGCCACCTTCCAAAAGAAGCAATAATATTTAGAGATATTCTCCTGACTTGAAAGCGAATCGGCCCTTGTTGCCGCGAGCTGATCATTAGAAGGACCAACCATATATTTATATCACACACACACACAGACACCACGGACACACAGGCACGCACACTCACATACAAATTTTTCAGTGTGGGGGGAGCTGAGATGATGGAAAGAATAAGAAAAGAGATGATTCTGATGGAAAGGGGGCTGCACAGCCCCACGGCTGGCAAAAGGCTGGCGAATCTGACTGAAGCGGCTGGGAAAGCGGTCCTGGAGGCCCTGGAAAACCCGCCCCACGGCGGCCGGCTCAGCCCGAGACTAACTTCCACTTCTCTGCACAGCTCCATCGGGGACCTCCCCGCCGCCAAAGGCAAATTCGAGATCGACACTTTATTCAGCCTTCAGCACCAGAACAGCGAAAGCGCGGTCGCCGCGGACCTGCCTCCCGCCGAAAGCCGGAAGAAAATTGGCCATTACTCAGAAGTGGCTGCGGAGGCAGAGATGAACAGCGACGTGGAGGTAGGCTGCTCCGCGCTTCGCTCGCCGACCAGCCTGGCCTCCTCCCAGCTGAAGGAAAGCAATAACAAAGGTAACTCTCCTCTCTCGCGCTCCCCATCCCACCCCAAACCCGGCTTTTATCGGGACAAGGATCGGGGCGGGGGCGGGGGAATCCAGGCGCAGCAGGATCGAACCCTTATAATATTTTCTTCTTTTAGTTACCCCCTTTCCCCGTTACAGAAGACAACCCGTAAAACAAGGGATTGAATACGAGGGTATCTGATTCGGAGCTCTGCTGAAGGTGCCTAGGTACACACGCCCGACAGCACCTTAAGGAACCTGAAGCAGAAGGTTATAGAGTGGTTGAAGACGCTGACCGCACTAAGCGGGTCTCGGGTGGCTTTATACTTTGGATTCTCTGTGTCAAAGTGTGCAGCTCACGACGGGAGTGAAAGTGTATTTGTACTCATTACAGAGCATATCCCAGCATCTGAGGGTCTTTTGGTAGATCCCTTTCGGGATTTACACGGTTTATCTGGAAATCAGTGTGTCATTTATTTGCCTCCTATGTTTAACAATCTGCCACCGATTTCGCAAGTGTAAACAAGTGCTTTTTGCCGAATTTTGAGAAAGTGCATTTAGAAAGGAGTGCTTATACTGGTCACCTCCGAAATCTCAGTTAGAGCCTGTTGTTACAATGCCTGTAGTTTAGTTTATGCAGAGCACAGCTAGAGATGTCCTTTAAGTAAATTATCTGTATGTATGCCTGGATTCTGTTCCATGTTTTCATTGAAAATGCAGCATTTTTTTTAAGTGCTGCTATTTCCTATGCTTACTTTCCGCCTTCCCCCTCTCCCGTGCGACCTACTCAGTGCCGTTAACTTTGACTAGAAATAATGCATCATAATCTCAGAAACTCTCCTAACAACATATTTTTAAAACGTCAGAACAGACACATTCTATCGGAGCCAAGTTGCACAATTAGAATCATCAGAGGCTGCTGGAATGTGGAATCTTTTAGGAAAGACATCTTAACAGGGCATTCGTTTGCAATCCAAATTGGGCAAGCCTTTCGATTTATCATCCTTTGCCTCGGAAAAAGTGAACGAAAAGTAAGAAAGAAAGAAAAAAACGAGTGATGGCCCTCAGAAAAGATTAGCTGTAGGCATCTTACAAAACACAACTCTAACTTTTCCCATCGAATATATTTTTTTAGGTGGAGTGGAGTCTTTTATCAATAGTCTGTTTTTGTTTTTAAAGGATGCTTAATTTTCTTGATGTCTTTTCATTTAATTTCAAACAAAAGAAAAAAGAAGAAACTTTCTATTGATTCGATTAACGCCGGCAATTTGTATCCCTGACAGTTAGCACTAATTATCGGGCGAGTGTGGATTGCACGGGCTGAAATCCGCCTGGCAGCGCGTCTCCGGGACAATAAACACGTCTTTCTTTTGTTGCTTTCTGTCTGGAAGGCTATTCGGAGAGCAGCTCGACCCCGAGCACCACCAGCTCGTCCTCAGGATCTACGCTGAGCAGCCTGCACAGCGGGAGCGCCCTGGGCACCTCCAGCTCCGGGGCCGATCAAGTGAGGAGGTACCGCACCGCGTTCACCCGGGAGCAGATCGCCCGGCTGGAAAAGGAGTTCTACCGCGAGAACTACGTCTCCCGGCCTAGAAGGTGTGAGCTGGCCGCGGCTCTCAACCTCCCCGAGACCACCATAAAGGTACTGCCAAGGAAGCGGGACTCGCGAGAGCCGGGACGGGCGGGGAGGGACGGCTGGCTGGCGGCTCAGGACCCGATTTGGAGGTCTGAGCCGTCACTTCCGTGCGTGTGGCTCGCCAGGCTGCAATCCTGTTTCAGAGGCGCTTGCCTGGCTGAAAAATGTCCTCTCCAGAGCCCACTTCCTCAGAAAGGAGGAGGAAGGACTCTGATCGATGTAAAAAGGAATCAGATAAATAAAAGGAAAGCTGATTGTTTTTACTATTTTAAGAACCCCCTCCTTCCATCGGATAGATTTTTGTATTTTATTTTGTTCGTCTTAGGTTATTGTTTTTCATATCTGTAGACACACACAAAGAAAGGAAAAGAAAAGACAAGAAAGAGAAAGAAAGAGGAAAAAAAGCAAAAAAATAGAGTGAATGAAATAGCAATAATAAAAATAAAAGAACCGGAAAGGAATTGAATAATTAATGAAGTCACTCTAGAAGTGAATATACACATTTTGTTTCTTCCATTGGTGTATTTTTTGTTGTTGTTGTTTTCCCCTGTAGGTGCTTTTTCTTCCCTTCAAGAGAAAGAGGATGCTAAGCGATGAGGCCTCTTGTAACTTTCTCAAAAAATTATAGTTTGGCCCTACAAACAAAAACAGTAGATAAAAAGCCAAGAGAACAGTATCAATAGTCTTGTTATATTAAATGTGTCTTGGGGTTTTTAAACTTGCAGAACAGGATTCATGCCCTCAGCCTAACTCCCTTCAGGAAGACATTGTGTTGAATCATCCCCTTGCTAAATAATTGCAAAGGGGACTGAGTTAAAATGACAGGCAAAATTATAATGTGTTTTCTTAAAAAGGATGCTGGGCTCGAATGATTTATTATTATTTATTTTTTGTTACAATTTCGGCACAAACTTAGTCTTACCGCAATTTTCACCTTCTGCAAATTTGGCACTGAGTGATAATCTCGCTTCTGTAGATGCTTACCTGTCATTGACAGAAACTAAAGTAAATTAATAATAATCAATTGGATTAGAGGTTGAAGTTCCAGCTTAGAATAAAACAGAAGTACAATTCCAGATAACTTTTAAGACAGATTTTTGAGAATGTGTATGTGCCTTTCTATAAAAACAAGGTTGTTTCTTTGCCAGGATACACTAGCAGTGATTGCCCGAATAAAATGCCAAAAGCTTTTTGCAAAAAGACATTTATATCCTCCTAATCTGGGTCTAAAAACCAGAATAAGCTAGAATCTTATGGAAGGATCCTGTGTTTATCCCGGATTAAAATGCAGGCAGTTTCTTTTTGGTTCTCGGCGGCGCCAGCTGAGGGGACCTGTCTTCAGGAAGCTATTTCAGGCAGAAGCCGAATTCGGTCTCAGCGAGGACAGGATGTGACTTGGCGGCGGAGCTTCGGCTCGGCCAGAAAACACGCCTGACCCTGCGGGCGAGGACGGACCGGGGCTGCCGCCGCCGCCGCCGCTTTGGCTGTGCTGCCGTTTCAGCCAGCCCTGCCCCTCCTCCCCTCTCCCGCATCCTGACTCACTGCGCGACTCCGCTTCCTCTCTCTCAGGTGTGGTTCCAGAACCGGCGGATGAAGGACAAGCGGCAGAGACTGGCCATGTCCTGGCCCCACCCGGCGGACCCCAAGCTTCTACACCAACATGATGACCAACGGGGCAGCCAGGGGGAGCCTGCCCTACCCCTTCCA